CTCGGCAACAACAGAATAGTATTTTGAAAACGAACATACTTATAAACGAATATTAGCAAACAACTACAGCGAAAAAACCATAAAGAAACCTGCGCAAAAACTGAACTGAGGGTTCCCGTGTCGCGCTCTCCCGTCACTTGCCTGCTCTTGTTCGAATTCAAATCCGTCCACTGACGGACTAGTGGGGTGAGGACGACTACAGGCGTTGGGTGTGATTCGATTCGCACAATCACAGTGGGAAAGGCCATTTCGGTCGTAACACCACGGTGTAGAACTCCATCTGAAGAGTGTCAAAGATTCATTGAGCGAATTTGGGGAATTATCTAAACCCATTGATTTATACATATAAAAAACTGATTCTTGATAATAGTCTGTCCTTTATAGAAAATTTTATGTGTGACCGATCGGTGCCAAACTCCCTTATATGTTTTCGACGGCAGTCCATCTCACAAGCTACTTTTCGCAGCGAAAGTCCCACTTCATCAGAAGTCCCACTTGATTTATCGATTTTGAAGAAAAATAAATAAGCTGTTATCAACTGATATCAAACTGCTTCCAGTTTTTGAATGAACAATAACAGAAGAACTCATTTTTATTCCACAATGAGGGAGGGCGGCAAAAGCGATGTGGTCCAAGAAGTATTTCCCTGCGTTACAGGAGTAGAAGAAAAAAGAAACGCAGATAAATTGAGCCTCTAGATTGAACACCAAATTTGCCCTTTTTGAGGTAATTGAAAACACAATGCGGGTGAAGGCGGGCGTGCCAGCTAGTATCAGGTTGTCCGGAAATTAATGCATTTTTGAATTCCAACCGCAATGAGTCATACACTTCTTATTTGTAAGTAGGTTGCAAAACACCATTCGGAGCAAAGCAAGCTCTACAAGATGGCGATCTTGCTTTTAGCGACAGCTCGATCCACCAACTTTCGAGCCAAAAACTAAAAAGATTCAACTGCGTAAAAAATTGAGAAAAATTGTATCTTAGTTCATAAACTTCGTACAAACATTCTGACTTGCTCACGTAAACACAATCCACATAAGGCATCTATATACGCCGTTGCCGTATTTTTTCCCTGTTGAAAATCAATAAAACGGAAATTGTCGTGCATTTGCCGAAGTGGTGTTGTCCATTTCCACGTAAGTAGTTGTATACTACAAATCTGTAGAAGTACAAATGTGAATTTCCAGCTCTCTACAAGCTTTGGTTTTCGAGAAATACCGGCAACAGTTTTCCCTAGTCACGTGGTCCAAGCTAAAATCTAAATTGCTTGAGAACTAAAGTTTGTAGAGGGCTGGAAATTTACGTTTGTACTTCTACAGGTTTGTAGTATACAACTACTTACGCAAATGCACGAAATTTCCGTTTTCTTGATTTCTAACGAAGAAAAAAATACGGCAACGGCTTATATAGATGCCCTGTGTGGATTGTGTTTACGTGAGCTAGTTAGAATGTTTGTAGGAATTTTATGAACTGAGTTACGATTTTTCTAAATTTTTCAGGCAGTTGAATCTTTTTAGTTTTTGGCTCAAAATTTGGTGGATCAGAGCTGTTGCAAAAGCAAGATCGCCATCTTGTAGAGCTTGCTTTGCTCCGAATGGTGTTTTGCAGCCTACTTACAAATAAGAAGTGTATGACTCACTGCGGTTGGAATTCAAAGATGCATCAATTTACGGACAACCTGATACTAGCTGGCACGCCCTCCTTCACCCGCATTGTGTTTTCAATTGCCTCAAAAAGAGCAAATTTGGTGCTTAATCTAGAGGCTCAATTTATCTGCGTTTCTTTTTTCTTCTGCTCCTGTAACGCAGGGAAAATACTTCTTGGACCACATCGCTTTTACCGCCCTCCCTCATCGTGGAATAAAAATGAGTTCTTCTGTTATTGTTCATTCAAAAACTGGAAGCAGTTTGATATCAGTTGATAACAGCTCACTTATTTTTCTTCAAAATCGATAAATCAAGTGAGACTTTCGCTGCGAAAAGTAGCTTATGAAGTATAGGTATATTTTCTATAAAGAACACACTAATACCAAAAATCAGTTTTATATATGTATAGATCAATAGGTTTAGATAAATCACCAAAGTCGCTCAATGGATCTTTGACACCTTTAGGTGGAGTTCTACACCAAGTTGTTTTATAGGATCTTCTGAAGCAGAAAAAAATATGGAAGAAGTTTTTATTTGCAGTACTTTACAAAATTATAAGGCGGCGTTGCAATGTCATCTTGGGTAACAAAAAACGAAAATTCGCACTAGGTAAAGTCCCTCTAAGAACAAGAACATTATTTTAACTTCCTGCTGAGACTTAATAATAATGAATTCGTGCAATAATATACATTAATGCACATAGAACTTAGTTTATTGATTTTTTTATGTTTTATCCATTCCCTGTTACCCGCACCCTCCTCCCCGTTCCTCCCTCGTGAATACTCTATCTTCAGCTCTATTCCAGCTTCCGCATTCACCGTTAGGCTCCCGCCAGAGTGCCGAAGTTATGCCAGCGCTACGCCAGCTTTCGATCGATACACGTGTATTTCGTTGGGGCGGGGCTAGCTGACGTCCCCAACGAAATACACGTGTATCGACCGAAATGCTGGCATAACTTCGGCACTCTGGCGGGAGACTTCGAAAGCACCTTGAAGCAGAAGAAATTGAATTAGATATTTAAAAGGCAGAAAAAAAGCAAACCAGCTATCTCCTCATTTACCCTATTTTCAGGTGTATAAGCCGCACCCTTTTCGCTCTAAAGGCGAACACACCAAAATACTGAATATCATGGGGCGCGTTAAGTGGGAGCAGTAAGCGATGAGGCGACCGCTTCGCGAGACATATGCGCAGTGGCACGCCTGGGTCTGCTCGCATTTAGCAAAAAGGGTGCGGCTTATACACCCGAAAATAAAGTAGTTGTAAATCTACAAAATCAAACTAATGGTGGTTATCCTTTGGAATACCACTCTCCCCATATTCCGCGGATCAAAAGTTGGCTATCAGTTCCAATAAAGATTCCTGGTTGTGGAGGAGTTTCAATAAAAAGAAATCACTCCGTTTCTGACCGCGATGATAGCCTGCAGCAGCGAGTTCCTGGCCAGTAATGGTAAGCGCAGTGAAACGATCATGGTCCAATCTTATACTCTGCAAACGTTCTAGCGGAAAATGCTTCAGAAGAAAAGTAAACAATAATAATCGCTAGAACTCGGGTGAGTCTCACCGAAGAGTTGCTGCGAAACGTTGATGTGCATCTTTGCGATAAGTCTATTCGATGGATCAAGTGCAACTCCTTCACTGAGCGATACTACAGCTGGTAAAAGAGCATTTAGTCGCCATAGATCCTCGCCGCGGCGGTAGTAGGCTTTTGAAAGAATTCCGCTGTAAAACCCGTTTTTTGGCCAAGAAATAACATACCTTTGCTTCGGTCCAACTCAATCGCGTGGGTTTTCGAGCGCTTCATCGAAGCGATTCAATCGCAGCAATATAGTTTGCAAATAGAATCGCGTTGTGGGGTTTGGTAGCGATAGCTTGTTCATGGCATTCGAGAGCTTCGTTAAATCGACATTGAATATGCGGACCCAGCTGTGAGGATGATAGCCTCGAAATCTTCCGTCATCTCACTATGAACTATAAAAAGAAGCATCGGATGTGAGAGCGGGCGCAAAGATTTCATGAGATGAGACAAGATTACTAAAGGTTGTCCCATAATCTTGCTTCCACTTTCTCCTACGATACATAAGTCAATTTTGTGCTCTACAAGATAAAACTGAAACGTCTGCAAAAAGTTAGCTCTTCCTAAAGTCCCAAGCCAACATCTAAAAGACTATTGCACAAAATGAACTAGAATAAAACCTTATCTCCTTCAAAAATTCCAAAAATCCTGCTGGTATTTATTATGCACATTTGCTTATTTCTTCCATAAGAAGAATTCGAGTCTGAGTTAACTGACTAGTTAACTGTAACTCTGAGTTACAAAAACAGCAACGCTCAAGGCTAAACCATTAGCCTTCCATACTAGCCACTCTTCCCTACTTAAGAGCCTCGGGAGTGGTCTACTCATCTTGATACGTGTATGGCCCCGGGCAGTCTTCACGCGAATTAATCGCCGCGACTTCCATTCGTTTTCATTTCACATTCAAAAATTTCGGGCTGGAAAAGTATCACAACCGAAATGCAAGTTGATCGGCGGAATGATGTTGTAACAGTTGTCTCGTCGCGATTTAGTCGCGACGATCAAATCGCGTGAAGTCTGTCCGGGGCCTAGGGGTAGAGGCAAACAGGCCGTGTTGCATATATCCATGTTAACATTCAACAGGTATGAACATGAGAGTCGAATTGCATACCGGGGGAATTAGGAAGGAACAGTGCGGAAGATGAATACTGTAGGCGGATGCACAGAGTAATGATGGTTTTGAGCTCTACGGCAACAAAGGCGCTAAGGCTGCTTGCGACTGCTGGCGGCGGCTACAGGGTACTGGCTACGGCTATGGGCTGCTAGCGGTGGCTGCCGGCGCCTCGTAAAGGTGCCTTCAGGTGTATTTGTCATGGAAGGACTCAGATATTACTGATTCTCACTATGCTACAGTGTGCAAAATACGTGGCAAAAAGCAAGTGATATGGACCTCATCACGAATGGCAACGGTAACCGTCCTTCTCTTGTAAGCCAGAGAGCAAACTCCGCCAAGCGGAATACGCGCAAAAATTGTAAAATTCTTCTTGTATAGGCACATGAAAGTAAATTTTTCGACTACCTTTCACAGAAGCCTCGCGGTTGGGCCCTGTCTGTATCGCATATACTATGCTTGCCTCTGCTTTTAGAAACCCTTGGTGTCAAACAGTCGCAGCATATCCATTATCATACAAATGGATTGCTGTGGAAATGGACAAAAACATTTCATCTCACATGCATTTGGCTGTTCAGTCTGAAACGCCGGGAGAATTTGCAATGAGCTTTAAAGACCATTACTATGGCGTCTCGGTATAAAAGCCGCACTATGGTGACACACCCAAAATGCAGCTGTTTCACCTCTTGTCCGTGCTTTTAGGTCCGCTCATGCTTCTGCAAGCAACAATGGGACAACAACAAGAATTCAATGCAACGGGACATGAAGTCCAACAAGAATTCAATGCAACGGGACATGAAGACCAACAAGGATTCAATGCAACGGGACATGAAGACGACGTGTAAGTTGAAGCGGAACAGATGCGACGCTCTAGTTTCTTCTGCGTTTAAAATGTTTACTTTTAGCGTTACTCAACGCTTCCCTTGGGATGCCGTAGCAAAAGGTCTCGTTGGTGTAGGTCAGGTCCTCGGAAGCATCTTCGGACACTGATAACACGATACTGAGCAAATCCGACATCATTCTGTTGAGCTAGAACAGAATATATCTTCTTGAGTTTCAAAAATTACAAGATTACAACGCATCAAAAGCAGTAGGTTTTGGTGCCTTAATCTACACAGCAGTGTACATTCAGCTGCAAACACTCTGCTTGAATGGTTGGCGGACGATTAGCTAGTCATTTAATCCTGGTTTTTGTATCTGTTCCAACAAGCATCTGAACTCTTCTAACAACAAATTTTGCTTCACTAAAATTATCAAGCTATGAATCAGCCTAATCGAGTCGCTCATTTCTTGCATCCGTATTGCTAAGTCTGGCCGAACATTGGTCTTTTGAAAAATGTTCGGACAAGATTGCTGTTAGTTGACTAAACCAGTTTTGAAACAAATAAGCATAAGTAGAGGCAATAGAGGTGTACTTTCGAGCTCCGTTCTATTCGCCACATCTGTTGTGGAAAGGCTTCTTGATAGATGCACCCGCAGCCCATGGTGGTTCCAGAGCAACGTGTAACGTCGCAAAAGACGAGCGACCAACGCTTCTCCTTCCTGCGTCGTTTGAATGGCTAGTAGCCAGTCGTACTTTTCTCCACTAGTAATGCGAACCTAAAACAATTTATACAATGTTCACTTACACAAACGGCACGCAATGCGCACAATGATTTGCAGATTTTCACACTTAACCGTCATTGATCTGCACGGCACAGATAATTGCAAAACAGCCTTGCAAAAATATTGGCAACCTTTGAAAGCGGCGATGAGACTGAAGGAATTTCACGAATATAAGAAGCGGTCTGCATGGAAACGATTTTATGCCAGATTCCTTTGTCTTTTCATTACAGGCAATCCCATATTTCATAAGCACTTGTGTGAACCTTGTTTTAACAAGCCAGATCCACACGAACGCCGCGTGAGGTGCTCGTAGGATGGTTCTGCTGATTTAATGGAGATACTGCGATTGAGACAGAGTATACTGCGAAAGAATGGCTTGTAGTAAAGCAGCCTCATTCGATCTCGACTGAAGAAAGCTTCAATTGAGGCTTCGACGAGTCAGCTCTGCCTTATTTGAGCCATTGATTGATAATTTCAACCATCCACATGGTATGATTAAGTGCGTCATGTTCAAGTCAGGGCCCGTTCGCCAAACATACACATCATTGTGAATGGTACTAGCGGCGGAGATGTGGCCGCACTTGTTGGATCTTGTTAAAGGTCGTCAGCCTGCATTGTGGCTCCTCACTCAGTATCTTCGGCATGTTCAGCTGACGTGGACCATAAGTAATTTTCTCTAAATCTCCTCATTAGCACACTATCTCGGGAGAGCTCGGATCATCTGCGATGACTCGGCCGGGAGATGATCTCCCTGCCGAACTTGATTTGAGGCACACATGTCAGGTGACGTCGCATTCGTATAGCATGGGGATGTGGGTTTTCACATGACGGAACCTCAAATAAGGGCTTCAGGGAGATCAACTCCTTTGATCGGGGTTTACTACGGGCCAATACGTGCGAAGCACAGATAGTCAGCTGACATGGAGGCTATCTATGTGGCATCCCTCTACCACGGCGAGTGAAGGATTATATTATATGTCGCCGAAAGGGGCTTCTGGTGGACATCTGCAACAAGCACTGACTTCTTATGTATGCAAGGGTAGGCATCTATTGCAGATGTTTGCGCGAAATCTCTGCTTTAGGCGACGTCTCGTCTTCTACGAGGAGACAGCTCTTAAGCTCGACAGTATTTAATAAACACATGTCACGCAGTTTTCCCCTCTTTTCGAGGTAAAAGTTGCGATAGTGGCTGATTCTGATAGGAACACCTATACCGCATTGCGGCAGTACGAATCAACCAGCACCAAGGCAAATTTTTATTGTTTATTACAACACCGCTCACATAACGTGCAGAATTTCCGTGAATATTGCGAAATTCCAGGAATGTCACGAACTTTCGCAAAATTCCGGAAATTCCGCAAAATTTCCGGAAATTCGCAACATTCCCGGAATTTCGCGATAGTTCGCGACATTCATGGAAATTTTGCACGTTATATGAGCGGTATTGTATCTGGACTGATAGATTGATAAAACAAGAATTTTTCTTCGCTGCTGGCAGGACCACTAGAAACGCTAGGTAACTTTTTTCATCCAAACTTCATGCTGAAGTGATCTATAAGCTTTTCTATAGTTAATGGCAATGGAATACAGTTATGACAGTAGAATGTGAAAATTCTCGGCGAAGTCGGAAAACTTGAGCGGTATTGTATCTGGACTGAAGTCTCTTTTTTCGGCGACAAGGGACTACCTGCGTGTTCTTGTAAAACAGAAACTCTTTAAAGAACGCTACAGGGTTACGCTTAGCACAGGTCCCTATCTGCATTTGCACTGAGTAGAGAAGGATAGATACATTAAAGCAGTGGCGGTGCAAGATACTTTTTCAAGGGGGGAGGGAGGAGGACAAAAAATTGTTTAGGTTTGTGGGCGTGAGCCATCGAACAAAGGGAAATCTAGGAATGGTTGAATTTTTGTGGTTCCAGTTTCTGTATGCCCTCGAATTTTTCGGCAAAAAGGGGCATAGAGTGAGCCACACCTTCGATGCCTAGACCAACTACTTCAGAGTTTAGAAGAGCTTTGATCTTTCATTATCTACAGTCGCAGACTACTATGAATATTCTTAAGAGCCATTATGCCCCGCCTTTTTCTTCTGATATATTAGGTCGTCCCAAAAATTCTTTCGCACCAAATTCAAAAATTCATAACTAGTTGAATTCTCAACGAATTTATAAGGTCTCAATTTTATATAGGAGAGAAGCTCATGCTCTTTGCTGATGTCCCTGAAGGGTTCTTTATTGTGTACAACTGAAGGAGATAGAAGCTCAAAACCAAAATCACTCAGATTTTGAATTTTTCGTGTAGGTTCATAAAAAATCGGAAACTCGCAACAAAAATCGGAGAAGTCGATATTGTAGGTTCTTTTATCCGCTCTTTCCAACAGTGCAAAGTTTGCGCCGATTGAGCGTCTCTGTGAAAAGTTATAAATTCCCTGAAAAATGCCAAAATAAGTCAAATTCGCCATTTTCTATTGCTTGCTCAAAATCGTAACTTTCCATAGAGACGCTCAATCGGCGCAAACTTTGCACTGTTAGAAAGAGCGGATAAAAGAACCTACAATATCGACTTCTCCTATTCTTAATCCGTAATTTAGATCTTGCAGATTCGTTGAGAATTCAACAAGTTATGAATTTTTGAATTTGGTGCGAAAGAACTTTCGGGACGACCTAATATTTCTACCAAATTATTTCTATTTTATCCAACCATTCAACACTATTATTTAAAAACTTTAATTTCGAATTCCTCGAGCTATTATTTCAAATCGCAAGTTTTAAATTCTTTATCTTTAGATCAAAAATTGTTATTTTGTGATGTGCGCGTTATTGTGAGAGGGAAAAGATTTGAAAATCAAAAGCAGAAAGGAGTAGAAAAGAATAGACACACGAAAAGCAGTGGCGGCGCGAGAAATTTATTCAAGAGAGAACTGGGAGTGTGTTTGTTTGTTTCAAAGAATATGTGTTTCAATCGCGAAGATTTGTGCTACAAAATGCTCACCAAGGCTAAATTTTTTAGGAATTCTGAGCCGAGAGGCTTTGACTCAAACTTAGCTGAATGCTGGGATCACTCGGAGCTTTATAAAGTGCTTACATGAGAAGCAATTACAGATCTTTCACTTGGTTTTGGTAGAGTAGACCAAGGACTACTAATAATAGGAAAACGGCAGAATTTTCTCGTTTTTGAAATGAGAAAAAATTGAAGGAATCTAAAAAATACAATTTTTTGCCTTCTCTAAAATGCAGGAGAAAATAGTGCTTTTGCTTTCTTGGCAATATTTTTTCGCAGAAATTTTTTTGTAAAAGCCAACTTCCACGCTACTACTGAGTCGACCATCGGCTAGACAATGAGCAAAGTTTGCTCCAATCTAGTTCTTTTGAGAGTAAGTTAGGCTCCTTCAAACTAGAGCTTTCCAGAAAAAATTCTTGGTAAATTTTGAGCCGTAAAATCTTCCCCGTGATGAGTGCAATCACACAAAAGTATATTTTGTATAGCTAAAAGTTTGCTGTCTATAACAGTTTTGTTGCGCTCAGAAAGATTGTTTTGAAAAAGAATTATCTTCATTAGAAGTGGAAGTCGAGAAAACGTGCATTAATTATGAACCAACCTAATATTAGGTGGGACTAAAAGTACGTTCGCCACTTTTTCAAAAAATCATAATTTCCTTTCCACTCGATGAATCTCTTTGATTTTATATTCGTCTAAGAGTCGCGAATTAGAAGGAATTAAAGATTACTCAAGATTGGCATTTTCAAGCAGGGTCACCAAAAAATTTTGAAATTTTTCGATAAGAAATTTTTCGATGGAAAAAACTATCTTCTTTACTATAGTGCCTTTTCCAAAAGCAAAAAAGATTGAGAATAAAAGCAAGTAAACAAAACTATTACTCAAGTTTTGCAATTTTTGAGCATGCTCAAAAATGCCCACGTCACAGAAAAGAGATATTTATGAACATGGGTGTTGTGACCTCCTTCTAACTGAGAGAAATTCGTGCCAATCGAAAGCAAATTTGATTTTCGTAGAAAATCAGATCCGAAAACTTGGTAATATTACGAAAATCAAATTTGCTTTCGACTGGCACGAATTTCTCTCAACTAAAAAGAGAAGGTCACTAAATCCATGTTCACATGAATTTCCCGTTTCTTCTGACGCAAAAGTGAAGTATTCTATTTATTTGCCTCTAATTCTCAATCTTTTTTGTTTCTGGAAAAGGCACTGTAGTAAAGAGCATACCTTTCTCTATAGAAAAATACTTTCAGAATTTTTTGGTGGCCCTGCTTGAAAATCTTAAATGCTTGAAAAAAATCCAATCTTGAGTAATTTCCTTCAGTTGCTTCTAACTTTCAAACTTTTTATGCCAGTTCATGGTAAAAGTATTGCTGTAAAGAAAATGATTTCCTCTCTTAGATGAATATAAAC